AGCACAGTATATTTCATCAAAAATTAAAATTAGAGAAATCTCCATTTTTATAATGTTTCCTGATACATATACATGTACTTAAGTTGTGCAGAAAGTTTGAGCTGATTCCAATTAAATTTAGATTTTTATGAATTTTTAAAGTTGCTCTAAAATCGGGCCAAAGTCCCTGTACTATAGTACAGTGGTTTTGGCCAAATTTCGTCAAAAATAAAAAGGAGAGAATTCTCCATTTTAATAATCTTTACCAATACATGTACATGTACTTATGTTGTGTAGAAAGTTTGAACTGATTCCAATCGAAATTAAAATTTTTACGAATTTTTGAAATTGTTCAAGAATCAGGCCAAAGTCCCTGTACTATAAGGGTTACGAGCCAAATTTGTTCAAAAATGACTAGGTGAAAATTCTCCATTTTTACAATTTTTCCTGATGCACATACATGTACTTAGGTTGTGTAGAAAGTTTGAACTGATTCCGATCAAAATTAAAATTTATACAAATTTTTAAAGTTGCTTAAATCATATAAAAATCAAAAATTATTTCATACATTGAAACTTAAAATTAGGCCACACTTCCTACACAGCATAAGTGCATTGGAACTATCATTCCTCATGCATTGTTGTACATTACCTCAATCTCTTCTGGTGCTCTCAGTGTAGTCTCACTATGAGTGATAGGAGCAACCTCCTCCATTGATATTGAGGGTAAGAGTGGGATGGACTTCACTTCAGGCTCAGCCTGCAACAAGGGATGAAAGTACAAAGAATGAGCTCAATTCTTACAATTGTTGGTGTGAAGTGATAGTTAGAGAGCGAGTCCAACTGATTGAATAGCTTCTTAACCAGTTCCCTAATCTCCTTATGCTTTGGATTCTCTTCCTCTTCTCTCTCTCCCTATAAAAACAGACGGACCTTAACAGCCTCCATTATATTACCACTGTACCTGTGTCTGTTTGATGTATTCCTGCTCATAAACTTCAGCTAAACTCAACTGGCTCTTCTCTTCATTCAGTGGCTGAAACACTTTATAATTGAAAGGTCTTTCCTTTGGTTTCGTCTTACGTATAACATCATCCCATGCCTTCATATACAATAATAATAATAAAATACAGTGAGTTAATCCTATAATGATGAGCTACAATGTATATCATACAAATTGATAACGAGGAAAAAATGCAACTGATGAGATTTGAAGAAAGAGAACACTGTACAAAAGTAAGTGATAAAAGATTAAAAAAGATAAAAGATAAAAGTATACACTGATAACATTAAGTGACGCTCATATTTCAGTATAACTGGTTACTATAACGTGCTACTATTACATTGACTACTATTACATGGATGCTATTATTAATCTTTAGTACCTGGTCTTTAATTCTTTGTTTGATAATTTCTTCTAAAGTAAGAGTCACTTCTTCAGTGATCTCAGGTGCTGGCCTTGAAGCATCCTTAAACATCAAGTCCTCCTCTAGTAATGTGTTCTCCCCTCGTCCCTTGGAGGTCACCTCTCCTATCATCTGCCACGGCTTCTCTGCAACGTTAGTAGCTTCAAGTTTTGCAATGTAAGACTTCATCTAATAAAATATAAGTATGAA